AACAAGAACATGGAAGCAGCTCAATTTATGACACAATTAACTATAAATACAGAACAAAAGATTGGCAATAACAGCAAAACCTTGCTGTCTTTGAGGCTGTAATGCAGGTGAAGCTGCAATAAGTAGTATTCATCCCATTGAGAGATTCTTTGTGTTAGGTAACGTTTGTAGTGAAGCCAAGAACAATTTAGAACATTGTTCAATCTTCCTGATGAAGATGAAGTTGCCAAGCACTATTAATTATTAATAAGAGCACCATAATGTAAAGTAGGATGGTATGTAGTTGTGTCATTTGCAATTTTTAGAATTGGTAAAGAATTCAACACAAGCTGACACAAGCTAGTTAAGAAGCTAACACTCAGCACTTATGGCAGCAGACAGAATGAGTGTTTTCCTCATATTTTCACACTCAACAGATCAAAAATGAAGCTTGCTTTGTTTCTATTCTACACATGATTGTGGATAAATGTATACGCATTTGTGTGAGTGTGTGCACAGAACAGTGGTTTCATATCAGCCAATAAGGTAAAGTAAGCAAGATAGCTAATTAGCCAAATTAGATGCTTTAGAGTGACATAGAAACACCAAAACGAGTGTTAAGTGGGAAAAACAGCTTTAGAAAGGGAATGGTTCTTTTTTAAGCCCCACAAAAAAACTGGTGTGACTGGTGTATGTTCATGATTATATGACAAAAAGTAACTACACAAAGCTGTGAAAAGCTGAGAAGTTTAGAAAAGCATTCAGTATCTTGGTTAAATAATTCTCAGGATTAGTACAAAATCCTGCTGTGACATAATGCTGACTTTTCCGGTTCCAGTTTATGACTATGTAAGCAAGGTTCTGTGGTAAGGTTTTTCCTCTGGAAAGCTGTTGATCCTGCTTTGAAATTAAGTAAGTTAGTTAAGTGACACTTATTAGTCCCACAACGGGGAAATTTCACCTCCGCATTTTAACCCATCCGTGCAGTGAAACCCCACATTCACACTAGTGAATGCACACACACTAGGGGACAGTGAGTACCCTTGCCCAGGGCGGTGGGCAGCCGTATCCACGGCACCCAGGGAGCAGTCGGGGGTTAGGTGCCTTGTTCAAGGGCACTTCAGTCACATACTGTCAGCTCAGGGGTTCAAACCGGCGACCTTCTGGTCACAGGGCTGGTTCCCTAACCTCCAGCCCATGAAACCAGCCTTGTGACCAGAAAGTCGCCTGTTTGATCCCCTGAAATGAACAAGAACACAAAGTCTATGAGCACAAACTTCATATGAACTTTTCTTATTTCTTTCTTTTTCTTTTTTTTCCCCTCTATAGTCAGACAGGATATTTAATTCAGCAGTCAAATTTTCTCTCATTGTCCAAACCCTTAAGGATTACCTGAGCAGCAATAGGAAATATCATTTTCAGTTATTCTAAATTTATATTTTTTTTCTTTTATTTTCTTTGATTTCACCCCTGTCTTTTACCAAATCAAGACAAAGTTTGTTTTGAGTTGTATAAGAAGATCATTGAGCTGTTTGCTGTTTTGCTTAGAATACATCTTGGTCTGCTTAAACATGAAATGCTTGCCTGTGAAATCAAAACTCTTCTTGTGAACTCTGGTAGATTTTTACATGCAAAACAACATTTCACATGTTTTGTGGGCTACAGCGGACTTTTAAAGGAAAGATGTTTACCATAAAGCTATTTGTTGGTGTTACATTATATGAATGTATCTGGCCATGCATGAGCAGAGCAGGATTTATCATTGTTCATTATGTACAGCTGTTTACGCATTTGATGAAAGCCTAGTTGCCTACTTTCTGGTGCATACTGGTGGTTTTTATGCCAGTAGAATATGTATTATATGCCTTGATAAATGAGACCCCTGGTTAATGCACTTACTTGTAGAGAAGTTTTAACGTTCCTTTATTTTCCAGTACGTTGCAGGCTCCCCCAGTGACACATATGCAGCTCTGAACCCTGCGACCATGTCCTCGGATTACGACACTATGGCAGTAAGTCTACAGGTTTTTTTTTAATATAGTTTGATGCATTTTTTTCTTCTGTAATATTCTTTTACTCTACAGCATGTCAGAGGCTCTCCTAGAGGCACAGTGCCTTGAATCCTGTATGACTATTAGGACACTTATAAGTAAGTCTGCACAGCATTTTGCATTTGAATGCATTATTCTCTCTTTTGTTACTCAATAAATTCATAAATTTTTTTTCAGGGAGGAAAATCTGCTTTTATTTTTGACCCACCTGCTGTCCAGCACAGAACTCAGCAACAGAGATTATAAAGACTCTCTGCACACTTCTGCGAATTCGCCATCTAACCACAGACCCCAGAGTTAACCTTTTTCAAGCAACATTTTTTTTGTTCCACAGTTTTATTATTTAGTCTATTTAATAAAAGTTGAAATTTCATACCATAAATATTATGGTATTCATCATGTCACTATAATTTAGTTATAGCTAATTAGTTAATAGTTTTCGATGTTTGCCAGTTAAGCATATGTTGCTTTGAGAAGTATTGGCTCTAGATTTTGGCTGCCATACCGTATCATAAACTCTCAGAGATTTTTGAACAAACGTGCAGCTCTTTTTATTCACCTTTTTCCATATTAGCTGTTATATTAGTGAAATGCTTTTATGACTGTTAGATTTACTCTAATATATTAGTGAATCCATATAATATGTTTTAATCCAGAGCCATTTACAAAATGTGCAAACAGCATTTTTTTTTATCATTCTTAAAGTTCTGTGATAGCCACTTATAACTGTGAACGAAACTGAAAATAACTATATGAAAGTTTTTCATTCTCTGCATGCTGGCTCCTTCTTGCTGGGCTTCAGCTGGGCTTCACTGCCACGCCTCCAAATCTTTGGAAACACTTGAAACACTGAGCGTGTGGCAAACACCACAACAGTGGCAGACTATAGTTTTTGACAGGAATTAGACCACCTTCCCTCCAGCATTAAACTCACCCAATGCTGTAGCATATCAGAGTGTGCTGAGGCCTTTTTAATGGCTGCTAAACTATTATTGTAAAATTGATATTTAGGTCACGTCTGTAGAATTCGTTATTTTAAGTAAATGAATTCTGTGCTGTATCATGTACCACTAGGGCTGACATACCAGCACCACACACACTACCATGCTACTACCATGTCACTGTCACTGCTGTGCTGAGAATGGGCCGCCACCCAATAATACCTGGTCAAAAGACACCCAGTATTCAGAATGACCAATTATAAATGGATCAAAATTTGTTCCACTTTTCCTCTAGACACAACAGCGGCATTTAGCATTTGTTCTGAATCCTGCATTGAACTTCAGTAATCTCACTGCTGCCACCTGGTGAACTACCTGAAAATTGAAGAAATGCATTTCAGTCATTTCAGGATCTAATCACTGACGTAACCGTCTTGTTTGTTCTGAACTAATTAATAGTCTGGGATTAATCCTTTTATGGATAAAGCAATGAAATGACAATTGTGGCTTGTGTGTGGAATCATGCTGCTTATTATTCAGTTAAACTAACTCACATTACTAACTATGAATGTAATGAAAAATAAACAACTGACTTTTTAGTAAACATAGGAAAACAGAGATATCTCTGGGAGACCACATCATTTACCACAAAGATTACAAAGCTGACATTTTTTAAGTTTATTTGTGGCTTTGGAGATGAATGGAAAACAAAATCCTCCACTCTGTCATGGTATCTTTAAATACTCAGCAGTGACGTCTCTTGACCTAAACACATCCACATGTGGTGCTAAAGACCTGACCTGAAAAGAGCTAAAAAGCAGCTAGATAGGTGTGATTGACTCCCTGATGTTGACTCTCTAGTCACAGCCCTTTTCTGTAGTATAGCACGTGTTGTATACTGAATACTATACTGTGTATTACTATGAAAAGTAGCATAGTAGTATATAGTAGTACAGTATTGAGTATCTGTAGTATAGTAGTCAGGGGTGTACCACCAAAATTTGGGCCCCAGGCACAGTAATGTGCCTAGGCTGTTCTATCCCTCTCCTAAGAAACCAGAGGATCAAACCAGTTTTGCTTTTGAGGTGGCAGGTGGGGGAGATCAAGGAAGCAACAGAAGATAGGCAGAACGTGTCATGGAAGATGCTCTTTTTTCCCCAATTTTCTCCCCAGTTTAATCATATCAAATTCCACCCACTAGTCACACAATACCACCAGCACTACGAGGGCGAAAACTAACACAGGCTTCCTCCAACACCTGTGAAGCGCCTCTACATCTTTTCGAACTGCGGCTAATGCAACATCATTGGACAGCTAAACATGCAACCACCAGATCTGTTACATCAGCTAACAGACACTTGCACTGGCTAGGATTGTGCTAAGTGATGGGGAAGACAGAGGGTCCACAAACCCACCCAGAGAGAGTGAGGCCAATTGTGCTCTCTTGGACTCCCGGTCATGAATGGCTGTAGCATCACTGGGGATCGAACTTGCCATCTCCTTATGATGGAAGATGCAGTTGTGTATTGTTTATTTCTAAAATAACAGAGAAAGTCAACAATAGAAACCATAATAAATTAATTTACTTCCAGGAAGGGCCTTGGTTAGTCAGGTTCATCATTACCCACAGTTAAACACCCCTGATAGTGGTATGCCTTTTCAAATGCATTCAAACTAACGCAACGTGCAGTAGGTTTGATGAGTAGGGAGCAGACTCAGAATAGCTACGGCATTATAAGATCTCCTTTTTTTAATACTTAAAAAACTCAAAACCTCAGCCAAAACCCCTGCCCTCCTGCCCCCACAAAAATTCAGCTTTTCAATGAGAGTCACCTCCCAATGTTTCCAATGTCTCAATGTAAAAAATCTGGCTCACAAATTACACGTTATTAGTGGAGAGCTCCACAATGGCTTTCACAGAGATCAGTATCTTCTCAGAACTGACAACTTTCACGAAGTCCTACATCCCATAACCGCACAGTCATTGCACCATCCTGAACGTCTATTGCTTCACTCAGTGCCACACACCACACTGCAGAAAAAAGCTCCAGGCCACAGATGACGTAAGTACACCCAGCACTTCACACGCTTCAGTTAATCCAATTTATTTTCCTTCATTTAGCTTCTTGTTCTCAGGATCAATACTTGGATTGTGCAGCTATGCTGTACCAGCACCTCCCATTTTTACTCGCTTGAGAACTGACATCTATTTTACAGCTCAGCTGCTTTTCAAGAAATTAGTTGTGTTTCTCCTACTTTTGCTCATGTTCCTGTTTCAGCAAAGCATTATGGAACATGTAGTTGTAGCATAATATTACAAAATCATGCAAGTTTTGCGTCATTCTTGTGTTTGAATACAGTTAAAGGGGAAGGAAATATAGTAGAACAAATTCATGAAGACATTGAAAACACGAACACAAACCCCACTTGCTCGGTCTCTTCCAGTAAGTGACAGAAGAGTGAGACAGATCATAACAAAATGTAAGTAAAATTCTCTTTAGAAGAACTGTTCTCTATGCAGTCTATTATTTTAAAACTGGACATTTTAAATACATTTCTGTCCAGAGATTTGGGCAGCATGGTCACTGATAATTACATGTACAGAAAAAACAGACAATATTAGCATAATTTGCTGGACATTTTTTTGAATGTCTCATGATAGTAAAGATTTCTTTTGCACACACAATACAAACAAAGCATAGAGCTTATAAGGGAGATTCAAAGAGAAAGAAAACACATTTGTGTTGTGGATTTTCAGTGCTTTTCTGTTGGTAATTGATTGTGGCTTGTTTGTAACCTTGCTTTAAGGGTAGAGCTTGTATGTGTGTTTTGGCATAATTAATAACCCAGTTTAGTGGTTTTGTTGCTACAGTTTCATCAGCATGCTGAGGATGAGAGTGTCAAAATAAAATGTGTGTGTTGTAAGACCATTAAACAATTATTCAGCATATTATGCAAGTGCTGTTTGATTGGTCTGATATTTGCAGTTCTCTTTTTGCATCTAACACTTTAAATATCTATGTGTTATTTTTCATCAATCGATAACTACAACTACTAAAAAAACAGTATTCATATAATAGTGTGATTACTAGCAGGATTACCTTAAAACCACTCTTATATTGTAGCACTGTGATTTTCCTGACTGAGGTTGTAGCACTGGGAAGGCAGACTGACAGGTATGGACACTTTAGTGGTGTATTTACACAAAATACAAGCATTCAAACACAAAAAGCAAGTAATGATCAAACTCAGAACAGAAATTTAGCCAACAACACAAGCAACAACCAGAAAATTACAAATTGTGATAACCAGGGAACAAAGAAATGCAAAACTATGATAACTAAAAACAAGCCTACAGAGAAAAACACTAAGGAGAACTACAGCAAACTAAGCACAAGGAACACATATAAAGCACAGAACCACACAGGATATGATGTTAATTCATTATACAAAGCAGGCATTTTCAAATGGTTGGTGCTAGATTGAATCAGCGGGCTAATTAAAGTGTTTGTTTCTGTTCTTCTGTGGTCAGCTCAAGTGGAACCATGGGCCTTAATTGTGGAATTCCATCATTGATCATCCTGCTGTTTATATCAGGTAAGATTATTCTGCTTTTACTGAATTACTGCCATCTACATCTACGTCATGTGCACTCACTATCCACTTTATTAGAAACACCTAACTTGTACTGGCCACTGTATGAGCTCCACCTAATAGGTCCACTATACAGGCATAAAATTACTGATTAGCCCATCTACTGTCTACTTCATTCATCATTGGTCAGTTTATGACCACAGGACCGCTGTTGTCCAGGTATTATTTGAGTGGTGAATCATTTTTAGCACAGCAGTGATGATGACATGGTAGTGCGTGTGGTGCTGGTATTATTGTATCAGACAGAGAAGTCACTGTTTTTTCTCACCTCTAGGCTTATCCAGCTAAGAGCAGCACTGTAGTCAGGAACTGTCCACTAATGAAGGGCTAGAGAATGCTAAGACAAATTGTGTAACAGATGGACTTGAATTGCCCACGAAATGTACATCAGCAAGGTGAACCTAATAAAGTGGCCAGTTAAGGCAACAGCAGTTGTATTTCATATTATGTTACATTTACCGGCTAACTATGTCAGAGATAGGCCTTTAGTTTGGGCTATGAATGTTAAACACTGATATATACAGTGGGGGAAATATGTATTCAACATGTTACTTTTTTATGTAAACATATTTTCAATGTGGCTATTCATTATTAATTTGGTGGTAACAAGTTGTACTAATCTAAAAATGAACTAAGATAATGCAAATTTTGTAGTTGTTACTACATTAGAAGTTAAGAAAATGTTGAGTAACAACACTTGTCTGTAGATGGGCCTTGATGGAAACCTAATTCCCATAAAGGTGAAAAATTATTCTATATCATCTTTCAAATTAACATTTCATTTATGAGTAATTAGAGTTTGATACCATTGTCATTTTATTACCAACTTGTTTCCACTACAATTATAAATGTTCTATTTACTAGCGACTAGAAAATTAGCACATAATTTTTAGGTTATTACAGCTGATTACCATAATATTACCATGTCATTACACCCTTATTACTGAGGTGAAGGTAAAGTGAAGACAAAATGGTCAGATATTTTGATTTCTGGGATTACTGCAGAAATGGTAATGTACACCATTTCAGTTTCAGGTACACTGGATGTCAATGTGTCCTGCAGTCTTCAGACTATCTGTGCTCTGAGGGAATCAGAGGTGGACCTGAATTGCTCTTACTCAAACATCACCATCAAAACTGTCTTCTGGTTCAGCTTTAAAGAGAAAGCTAAATGGAGGAATGAGGAACATCCAGAGGATTTAGCTTTAGACCCAGACTATGCAGGACGAGTGAACACTGAGATCACAAACTCCAGCTCAACTCTTACAATCAGGGAGCTGAGAGAGAGAGACTCAGGAGGATATCACCTCATGATCATTACAGAAAAAGGAGAGGAACATCTCAGCTCAACAGCTATCAATCTAACAGTTGCAGGTAAACAGCTAAAGTAACACAATCTGTTTAGTAAATATAGTTTTATATGTTTTTTGTTTTGGTTTTGAAAGATTCATTGAATTGATGTACTGAAATATTTGTAACTTTATTTCAATTTAGACCTGCAGTTAAGGACGAACTCACAGCCCAAACGGACACTGACCTGTATCACTTCCTGCAATTTGACCTCTGGAATTAATTCTTACACTTGGTACAAGGATGGACAAAAAGTGAAAGGTGCAAATCAGATATCTTTGGTTTTATCCAGCAAGGATGTTGGCAGCTACTCCTGCTCCGTAGTTAGCAGCTATGAAGAAATCCACTCTAATGCAGTGTGTGAGTATGACAACTGTTTAGCTAATTGTTCATTAACCAATCAATTCAATACAAGCTAAGATTCTACTTTTACAGGTGTGCTTGATCAGGACTGTTGGATTGTGACCTACAGAGACAGAAGAGTGTGTGTTTTGGAGGGTTCTTCAGTGGATTTTCCCTGCACTTACTCACATCCCAGTGGTTATAACATTAATGAAGCATTCTGGCATTCCAGATGGTTTGAGGAGGAGCCAATGGATCTGCATCAGGAAAAGAACTTTGCTGGTCAAGTGGAGTACATTGGAGATAAAGAGAGAAACTGCACTCTGAGAATGAAAGGTGTGAAAAAGAATGACTCTGGAGATTATTACTTTCGATTCATCACAAAAACTAAAGGAGGGAAATTCTCTGGTAGACCTGGAGTCATTCTGAATGTTACAGGTAAATGAGTTGTTTGCCATTTTGATCTATGTTTGGTGTGTTTATCTGATTAATCTGATATTTATTTTCTGCATGTTCAGATCTGCAGGTGAGAGTGATTTCCAGCACAGCATCAGATGGGACCACAATAACACTGATCTGTAGCAGCACTTGCACTCTGCCTAACAACCCCACTTACATCTGGTACAAGAACAGACAGCCTGTAACTAACAAACTCACCAGAGACAACAAGCTGTACCTAAAGTGCAGTGAAGTTGCAGCAAACTACTCCTGTGCTGTGAGAGGACATGAGGAGTTCCGCTCACCTGATCAAACACTCAGTGACTGTAAGTCCTGTGAAACACACATCTCACTAATGATCCTAAACTAGAGCCCAACAAGCTGTACCAGGACTAATAAATCGAACGCACCATAGAAGGTTGTTTTTGTGTAGCTCTATATTTGCTGCTTGAGGCTTGAACACTGATCACAGTGTGTGAGACTCACAGTTAGTTGTTGTGTTGTCATGTATACAGTGTCTGGTTGCTCTTGATTGACTCATCTACAGGCAGGAAATTAGCCTCGTTATTAGGTTAAGTTCTCCACTTAAAATGAATGACAACAGAGTTGATAATATAGGCTGTAATTAAAACAGCAGCTCATGCGATTTGAAAACTGCACTCTTTCCAATTAGCTGTTTTACATTACTATTAACACTTTTTTTACTACGTTACTATTTTATTTTATTTATTATACTATTAACACATTATTTGAAGTTCAATAAAATTACAAATTTAAGGCAGCCAGGTCACTTAGTTTTTCACATTAAAGAAAACCAAGTAAACAAATTTTTGAGCGAGCATCTGGTGGCATTCGGGTAGGGTGCGGCAGAACTCAGCCTCAGTGGGGAACACTGAACAGTGTTGAACTTGACGCAGTGAGCTGTGCTGAGTCTTGCCAGCCGTGGCAGCAAAGACATGGCCCAGAGCAGTGAGCACTTGGCTTGGGCTGTGAGGTCACCAGAACAGCTGACCTTTGGTGGCAGGGGGGAGGGTGGCACTGTGGCAGCTGCCACTTGCTTCACTTTGCAGAAGGGACTATAGAAGCATGGTATGCGTGGGAGGGTGGGGGTGGAGGGGGGGAGTTCAGGGGGGAAAGCATTTATTTGAATCTGTGTTGTCATTGTACATTTTGTTTCTGTTTAGTATTGAAAATAAAAAAAATGTTAACAGAGAAGCATGGTATGCAGAGCTGCACCATGTGCCCCAGCCCCCTCCACCAAAGGGACATAGAATCATAATTTCAGTATGGACTGGAATTACATGGCTAGAAATAACCCTCCCCTTTGTTCAGCTGTACTACATGTGCCTTTTCTGCAGTTCTTGTATCATGGCCACTCCCGTGTCTCCTTCTTTGCCAAGATGCTACAATATACTTATTGTAGATTGTCCTCAGAAAGTAGAAGAAAATACACTAAAACATAATGTACTTAAATATTCATTCAAAATTTTGAGCTGTCAGGCTGAGTTTGTCAGGGATATTGGGATATTGGGATATTGAGAACTACATAATTTCTTTGTCATTTCTTTACTGATTGACATCACAATCTTAGGCTTGTCCAACTGGATGAGCTGGATAAATAGTAATTAGTGCTGGTAAACTGCAGGCTGCTTGCAAATACACCTTTCAACCAGAGAGGTCATCAAACTTACATACTGCTGCTTTAAATTGCCCTTATTACTAAAAACTGAATTTCCTTCACTTTTTTAAAACATAAAATAAGTTTGGTGCAGTATGTAAACACTGTTAAAGTTTCAAAACATACTGTTCATGCTTTAGTCCACACAGTCCATATGTGGTACCAACATGTTTACATGTATCCGCCTTTTCAGCCAACAACAGTTTAGCCCCTCCAATTAATATTGAAGTTATATGGAGTGTTTCTGATCAAGGCACGATACCAGGCAGCCAATCACAACAGAGGCCATTAATATACATCAATCTTAAAGACACAGTAACAAACAAAAGCTTGTTTAATTATGTTTAGGTGATGATGTGAATCACGGTTTATTTGTGAAGGTCGAGAGGAGAGCCCAGGGTCAAAGCTGGTCACAGCGGCAGTGGTGGTCTTTCTGGCACTAATACTCAGCATAGCAGCTCTGTGGATGTACTGGGTGATCAGGAGGAAGAGAGGAGCAGAGAGAGACTTAGATATTCAGGTACTGAGAGAGGATTTCACTCTTTCTCTATCTACATACTCCTATAAAGCTGCTACTGAATAAAGACTGAAGTTGTTCTCCTCATCTGTCTAAAAGACTCCAGATCCTGCAGACCACACATACACAGCTCTGGATCTCACCTACAGGACCTCAGATTATGAGACTCTGACAGTAAGTCTATTGTGTGTGTGTGTGTGTGTGTGTGTGTGTGTGTGTGATTGTTCTCCTGGTTAGTGCATTTAATTCTAGAAGCTTTTTTAATGTTCTTTTATTTTCCAGCATCTTACAGACTCTCCCAGTGACACATACACAGCCTTAAACCCTGAAACCATGAGCTCTGATTATGGCACTCTCACAGTAAGTCTAGCATGTGTGGGTGTGGGGTCTCATATATAAACAGCTTTGTGCAAACATGCACACACTCCAACACATACAACGTAATTTATATTTTTTCCCTCATGCTTGTGAATGTTGTACATTTAGAACAACATCTAAGGCTGGCTTTAAATGGTGAAATGTTTGTGCAACTAGTTGCATGTCGTGAATTGTCTGCAACATAATTTCCGTGGCTGTCATCAGCACTTGGGACTCAGCTTGGGTTTCGGCTCTCGATGGGGCTTTGGGTTTTGGGCACTGGACTCATGCTGCCTCTGGCACTTAGGCTCAGGCTCTGGCCTCACAAGCTGTCTTTTGGCTATTTGCAATGCTTACATTTCTTCTCCCACAGGCCCTCAGTGGTGCTTGGGTTTCGGGTGCCAGCCTCCTCATGTAGCCTCTCCTGGCTTCTGTGCTTGGGGCTTGAGTACTGGTCGCATGCTCGTCTCATGCTGCCTCTCATGGCTCCCTTCAGTGCTTGGGTAGACTGCTTGTGAAATGCACAATGAGCCAGTAAGCTAATTTTCTGATCATGCCCTGTAAATATAGTAGATTCAAGGCCAGTTGTACACATTGTTGAAAGAAATCTGCATATTTGTATTCACACATAATAAAATGGGCGACTATTTGGGTCATAATCTGTTCCCGATTGAGTGCTCCTAAATCAAAATTTTGTTTGCAAATTTTTAAAAAAGAGGGAACAAATACAATTATTTTGATTGCACTGTAGAACTCTGGTAAGATTTTACATGCAAAACAATTTCATATGCTGAATGGGCTACAGGGAAAGTTAAAGAAGAGTTATTCCTTAAATAAATGTATGTAGCATTTATCATCGTTCACTGGATACAGCAGCGTACACATTTGATAAATGGCTGTTTTCTAGTGTGTACTGGTGGTTCTTATACCAGTAGAACATGTTCATGTTCTTTCTTAAATGAGACCCCTGGTTAATGGGCTTAATTGAATAAACTTGTTAATGTTCTTTTATATTCCAGAATGTAACAGGCTCTCACAATGACACATACACAGCTCTGAACCCCGCGACCATGTCCTCAGATTACGACACTCTGGCAGTAAGTCTACAGTAGTGTTACCTACTTTAATGTGTTGTTCTCTTTTCTAACATTCTTCTACTCTACAGCCTGTTAGAGGCTCTTCTAGTGGCACCGTGCCTTGAACCCTGCATGACAATTATGACACTGATGAGTAAGTCTGCACTGCATTTTGTATTTGAATGCATTATTCTGTCTTTTGTTCTCTGGAGTGCTCAATAAATTCACATATTTGTTCAGGGTGGGAGATCTGCTTACCTGCCATGCAGCACAGCACTTAACAACAGACTGAGATTATAAAGACTCTCTGCACACTTCTGAAAATTCACCATCTCACCACAGACCCTGAGGGCCAGATGTACATATGAAGCGCAAAAAAGGCAACTTTCACATTCACAATTACATACAGTACCAATCTATATAGATATAAAAAGGCATCTAAGAGGAGTTAACCATTTAAAAGCCGTGTTTTTGAGTGCAGGAATTGTTTAAAAATACTCAGATTTAATGCCATCTCTATTATAATATTCATGATGGTCCTATTATTTATTAAAGTTGTCAGAGTTTCTCAGTTAAGCATATATACATTTGAGAAGTAATGGCTTTTAGATTTCGGCTGCCACAAACTCTCAGAGACTGTAGGACACACAGTTTCTTTCATTGATTTTTTTCATGTTCACTGTTTCATTGATAAAACTGTTATGACAATATTTGAGTTGCTCTAAAATTTTAGTCATTGACATTGATTTTGTTTACATTTTACCTTTAGTCATTTAGCAGATGCTCTAATTCAGAGTGACTTTCAAAGTGCATTTTAATATATTGGCAAAGCTTGTGTTTGTTTTCACTTCTTTACATGCCTGTGGTTTTCTATTTATGTTGTAATTCATTGTTCTCATTTGACCATTCTGAATAATATTCTATAAATAAACGTTTTTTAGTCTAAAGCTTGGTCTAGGCTTCTTTGATGGGTTGCCATGTTGTGAAATCCCTGGAAAACTGGGGGAATAAATAAAGGCAGAGCTCATTGAAATAATGTCTGAACAAAAATTTACTTCAAGGTAGAGCTTAACTCACTAAGCCCTCGCCTGCTTGGTTATGGATGCAACATCTGACAGTCTTTCAAGCCTCACATCTAAACTATGGTATTTTCAAGCTAGAGTAATTCGTTTAGCCTGTGAATTTCTTAGTAATCTTTGGATCAATGCATCCAAAATTTCAGAAAAGAGTAGACGAAAAAGTTTAGGCTACATACATAACCCTGTGATCTCTCTGTAGCCTAATAGAGCTAATAGGATAAAGATAGAGGATATGAAGACGCCTCTTCAAATACAAATATACAAAAAGTCTCTCAATGACTGTTTTTCTCTTTCTTTTCGCTGTAAAATTAAGATCATCTCAAAAAATCCTGGTGCAAAAAATTATTGTTGCAGGTAGGAAGCTCTCCAGGACCAGGATTGGAGACCACTGATATAGTGATGGTAGTCTATCTTTTGATGAATTTTTGTTAGGTATTCTCTAGTAATGGTCCATTTCTGACCACAGGGCTATTCTTAGCTGGATAATTTTGGGTGATAAACCACTCTTAACCTAGCAGTGACACTGACATGGGTAAAAACCCCAGAAACACCACTGTGTCTGATATACTCATACCAGCACCACACACACTGCTACGCTTCTACCACTGTTGTGCTGAGAATGGTTCACCATCCAAATAATCTCTGGTCAAAAGATGCCCAGTGTTCAGAATGACCAATGATAAAGGGATGAAAATGCACCTTTGACTTACAGTAAAAGTAGAAAACAAATTCAACCTTTCAGAAAAGATAATAAAAACCACTGTTCCACGTGGTGAGTGCCTCTGTGTCCCCATCTTCCTCTAGACACAACAGAGGCATGCAGTATGTTTTGAATACTGCTTCAAACTTTAGTGATCTCATTGCTGCCACCCAGTGAACCAATCATGCCATTACACCTACACTGATTTTAAAGGTCTACTACATACTTTTTTCAGTTTAGTGTAGTTTTCTGTGCTCTTTGAAAGATACCAGTGAATAAAACAAATAACACCTTAATGAAGTCTGTGCATAATGTATTTTACCCTGTCATTTACTCTTCTGTAAACAACAGCTCATTTTCTAGATGTTAGGTCACTGTTTTCATTCGCTTTGTCTGTAGAGGTGGGCAGATGGGGGGGTTTGCCCTTCTAGAGTTGTGGAGAGCAGTGCTGGGTAGTCCAGCTCTTTTCAGTGAGTTCAACTGATATCAACTGGCTGAGCTCACCAATAGGTTCTGACTCTTTGGCTCCCAAACGGCTCATGATCAGTGTTTAATCCCATAATTTGTCGAATTAATTACATTATTTGTAATTTAATTTTCAATCAAACCTAACATCCCACATAACGAATGAATAAAAACTGCATTATGTTAAAAAAAAAAAGTCAGATGTTGATAACTGGATGAATTTTAAGAGGCAGAGATCAGAATTTAAGGAGACAGCAAAATGCAGGCAAATGATTCATAACAGCTTCCTAAAGGGACCTAAAGGTGTCCTACAGTAAAGTGGTAGTCTCTAACTGTTAAGCCAATTCCCATTAGAAAGCAAAACCATCAGGTTTTAATTCTAATGGTTCTAATGGTCATTTTTTCATTAGGGCAATCACCAAAAGGCAGGTGAAAGCCAAAAAAACAGACAAATTAAAAAAGCGCACTTGAAAACACATGTAAGAATTACAAGAATAGCAAAGAAGAACAAAACTAGAAACCTAGGCTCAATCCCATTTCACCTCTTGACCTTACCACTTAGCCCTTGCCCCTCCATTTTGCGTGTTCATGCCTAGACATAGGGTGTCCTGATTTTTGTTGAGAAAAAAACAGCAAGATGGCTGCACAAGCGACCAAAGAAACCCACAAATGTGAGCATTTTCTCTGTAAAAAAAATATGATAACCATTGTTTTATCTTAGTTTAACGTCGTTTCAATGTCTTATGGTCCTTCTCTTCATATCAAGCATAAAAAATCACTAGTATGCTGATATCTCGGTAGCTAGCTAGCTAAATTTCCCGTTCCACCTTAAATGGTGCAGCAGTTACATTCTGGCACCTCAGGCACCAGCACTGCTGCACCATTTGAGGTGGAACAAGAAAATTAGAACAAGAAGCTGGTTGAATATCTGACTTCATCTTCATATTACTGAAAAATTAGGAGTGGGTGAATAAATAATGAATAATTGTCACACCCATGCACACACTCCAACACATACAACGTAATTTATATTTTTTCCCTCATGCTTGTGAATGTTGTACATTTAGAACAACATCTAAGGCTGGCTTTAAATGGTGAAATGTTTGTGCAACTAGTTGCATGTCGTGAATTGTCTGCAACATAATTTCCGTGGCTGTCATCAGCACTTGGGACTCAGCTTGGGTTTCGGCTCTCGATGGGGCTTTGGGTTTTGGGCACTGGACTCATGCTGCCTCTGGCACTTAGGCTCAGGCTCTGGCCTCACAAGCTGTCTTTTGGCTATTTGCAATGCTTACATTTCTTCTCCCACAGGCCCTCAGTGGTGCTTGGGTTTCGGGTGCCAGCCTCCTCATGTAGCCTCTCCTGGCTTCTGTGCTTGGGGCTTGAGTACTGGTCGCATGCTCGTCTCATGCTGCCTCTCATGGCTCCCTTCAGTGCTTGGGTAGACTGCTTGTGAAATGCACAATGAGCCAGTAAGCTAATTTTCTGATCATGCCCTGTAAATATAGTAGATTCAAGGCCAGTTGTACACATTGTTGAAAGAAATCTGCATATTTGTATTCACACATAATAAAATGGGCGACTATTTGGGTCATAATCTGTTCCCGATTGAGTGCTCCTAAATCAAAATTTTATTTGCAAATTTTTAAAAAAGAGGGAACAAATACAATTATTTTGATTGCACTGTAGAACTCTGGTAAGATTTTACATGCAAAACAATTTCATATGCAGAATGGGCTATAGGGAAAGTTAAAGAAGAGTTATTCCTTAAATAAATGTATGTAGCATTTATCATCGTTCACTGGATACAGCAGCGTACACATTTGATAAATGGCTGTTTTCTAGTGTGTACTGGTGGTTCTTATACCAGTAGAACATGTTCATGTTCTTTCTTAAATGAGACCCCTGGTTAATGGGCTTAATTGAATAAACTTGTTAATGTTCTTTTATATTCCAGAATGTAACAGGCTCTCACAATGACACATACACAGCTCTGAACCCCGCGACCATGTCCTCAGATTACGACACTCTGGCAGTAAGTCTACAGTAGTGTTACCTACTTTAATGTGTTGTTCTCTTTTCTAACATTCTTCTACTCTACAGCCTGTTAGAGGCTCTTGTACTGGCACCGTGCCTTGAACCCTGCATGACAATTATGACACTGATGAGTAAGTCTGCACTGCATTTTGTATTTGAATGCATTATTCTGTCTTTTGTTCTCTGGAGTGCTCAATAAATTCACATATTTGTTCAGGGTGGGAGATCTGCTTACCTGCCATGCAGCACAGCACTTAACAACAGACTGAGATTATAAAGACTCTCTGCACACTTCTGAAAATTCACCATCTCACCACAGACCCTGAGGGCCAGATGTACATATGAAGCGCAAAAAAGGCAACTTTCACATTCACAATTACATACAGTACCAATCTATATAGATATAAAAAGGCATCTAAGAGGAGTTAACCATTTAAAAGCCGTGTTTTTGAGTGCAGGAATTGTTTAAAAATACTCAGATTTAATGCCATCTCTATTATAATATTCATGATGGTCCTATTATTTATTAAAGTTGTCAGAGTTTCTCAGTTAAGCATATATACATTTGAGAAGTAATGGCTTTTAGATTTCGGCTGCCACAAACTCTCAGAGACTGTAGGACACACAGTTTCTTTCATTGATTTTTTTCATGTTCACTGTTTCATTGATAAAACTGTTATGACAATATTTGAGTTGCTCTAAAATTTTAGTCATTGACATTGATTTTGTTTACATTTTACCTTTAGTCATTTAGCAGATGCTCTAATTCAGAGTGACTTTCAAAGTGCATTTTAATATATTGGCAAAGCTTGTGTTTGTTTTCACTTCTTTACATGCCTGTGGTTTTCTATTTATGTTGTAATTCATTGTTCTCATTTGACCATTCTGAATAATATTCTATAAATAAACGTTTTTTAGTCTAAAGCTTGGTCTAGGCTTCTTTGATGGGTTGCCATGTTGTGAAATCCCTGGAAAACTGGGGGAATAAATAAAGGCAGAGCTCATTGAAATAATGTCTGAACAAAAATTTACTTCAAGGTAGAGCTTAACTCACTAAGCCCTCGCCTGCTTGGTTATGGATGCAACATCTGACAGTCTTTCAAGCCTCACATCTAAACTATGGTATTTTCAAGCTAGAGTAATTCGTTTAGCCTGTGAATTTCTTAGTAATCTTTGGATCAATGCATCCAAAATTTCAGAAAAGAGTAGACGAAAAAGTTTAGGCTACATACATAACCCTGTGATCTCTCTGTAGCCTAATAGAGCTAATAGGATAAAGATAGAGGATATGAAGACGCCTCTTCAAATACAAATATACAAAAAGTCTCTCAATGACTGTTTTTCTCTTTCTTTTCGCTGTAAAATTAAGATCATCTCAAAAAATCCTGGTGCAAAAAATTATTGTTGCAGGTAGGAAGCTCTCCAGGACCAGGATTGGAGACCACTGATATAGTGATGGTAGTCTATCTTTTGATGAATTTTTGTTAGGTATTCTCTAGTAATGATCCATTTATGACCACAGGGCTGTTCTTAGCTGGATAATTTTGGGTGATAAACCACTCTTAACCTAGCAGTGACACTGACATGGGTAAAAACCCCAGAAACACCACTGTGTCTGATATACTCATACCAGCACCACACACACTGCTACGCTTCTACCACTGTTGTGCTGAGAATGGTTCACCATCCAAATAATCTCTGGTCAAAAGATGCCCAGTGTTCAGAATGACCAACGATAAAGGGATGAAAATGCACCTTTGACTTACAGTAAAAGTAGAAAACAAATTCAACCTTTCAAAAAAGATAATAAAAACCACTGTTCCACGTGGTGAGTGCCTCTGTGTCCCCATCTTCCTCTAGACACAACAGAGGCATGCAGTATGTTTTGAATACTGCTTCAAACTTTAGTGATCTCATTGCTGCCACCCAGTGAACCAATCATGCCATTACACCTACACTGATTTTAAAGGTCTACTACATACTTTTTTCAGTTTAGTGTAGTTTTCTGTGCTCTTTGAAAGATACCAGTGAATAAAACAAATAACACCTTAATGAAGTCTGTGCATAATGTATTTTACCCTGTCATTTACTCTTCTGTAAACAACAGCTCATTTTCTAGATGTTAGGTCACTGTTTTCATTCGCTTTGTCTGTAGAGGTGGGCAGATGGGGGGGTTTGCCCTTCTAGAGTTGTGGAGAGCAGTGCTGGGTAGTCCAGCTCTTTTCAGTGAGTTCAACTGATATCAATTGGCTGAGCTCACCAATAGGTTCTGACTCTTTGGCTCCCAAACGGCTCATGATCAGTGTTTAATCCCATAATTTGTCGAATTAATTACATTATTTGTAATTTAATTTTCAATCAAACCTAACATCCCACATAACGAATGAATAAAAACTGCATTATGTTAAAAAAAAAAAGTCAGATGTTGATAACTGGATGAATTTTAAGAGGCAGAGATCAGAATTTAAGGAGACAGCAAAATGCAGGCAAATGATTCATAACAGCTTCCTAAAGGGACCTAAAGGTGTCCTACAGTAAAGTGGTAGTCTCTAACTGTTAAGCCAATTCCCATTAGAAAGCAAAACCATCAGGTTTTAATTCTAATGGTTCTAATGGTCATTTTTTCATTAGGGCAATCACCAAAAGGCAGGTGAAAGCCAAAAAAACAGACAAATTAAAAAAGCGCACTTGAAAACACATGTAAGAATTACAAGAATAGCAAAGAAGAACAAAACTAGAAACCTAGGCTCAATCCCATTTCACCTCTTGACCTTACCACTTAGCCCTTGCCCCTCCATTTTGCGTGTTCATGCCTAGACATAGGGTGTCCTGATTTTTGTTGAGAAAAAAACAGCAAGATGGCTGCACAAGCGACCAAAGAAACCCACAAATGTGAGCATTTTCTCTGTAAAAAAAATATGATAACCATTGTTTTATCTTAGTTTAACGTCGTTTCAATGTCTTATGGTCCTTCTCTTCATATCAAGCATAAAAAATCACTAGTATGCTGATATCTCGGTAGCTAGCTAGCTAAATTTCCCGTTCCACCTTAAATGGTGCAGCAGTTACATTCTGGCACCTCAGGCACCAGCACTGCTGCACCATTTGAGGTGGAACAAGAAAATTAGAACAAGAAGCTGGTTGAATATCTGACTTCATCTTCATATTACTGAAAAATTAGGAGTGGGTGAATAAATAATGAATAATTGTCCCGAAGACATACGATGCTCTAAATTTAACTAAAGCCCGACAGAGAGTCAACGTCACCCTCCTCTGCTGTCACTGCAGACTGGCAGGGTCGCCTACAGAGCAGCGCTAGTAGCCTGTTAATAAAGTAATGTTCTTTTTTATTTGAGGGTAGGGCTGAAAAAAAGAAATGGGATTGGTCCAAAGGCTGTGTTGGCAGTAGCTCATGTACTGATTGTACTCAAAAATAGCATGCAGTATATGACCAACACAAATTTCTCCAGTATGCCAAAGATAACAGAATGACATACTGCTCTGATCAAATATTTCAGTATGTGGGCAGACCTATTTTCATTATCTGCATCCCAAAATGCAATTCGGTCATTTCAGGAGGACGTAACCACTGACGTAATGGCCTGGTTTGCTCTGAGCAGTTTAATAGTCTGGGATTCAGCCTTTTATAGATACATACATGAAATGACATGAAGTGAAATCATTTGTCCTGCTGCTGCACTCAGTGCAACACTGAGAACCCCAGGTTTTCTCTGCTGGTCTTGAGGTGAGTTTTCTTACTTTGTCTAATGAATGAAGTTAACTTACAGCAAAGATAACATGGTTAAAACAGTAACTTATAAAAGTTGGTCTCAGTCGAACAATCTGCTCAGCATTGGCTTTTCAGGCTCATGTGCTGCTTATTATTCAGTTGAACTAGTTCACATTACCAACTACAAATGTAATGAAAATCAAATGACTGACCTTTTAGCAAACAGGAAAAGTGAGGTATCTGTGGAAACCACTCATGTTTACCACACGGCTTACAAAGCCAATGTTTTTACAGTTTATTTTGTGGCTTTGGAGATGAATAGAAAACAACTTCCATCCTGCCATTATGTCAAATTTGGCAGGCACGTTGCTTGTGTCACAACCCCGCTTTGGCTCTGAACTCTCGTTGGACTCCATCTCCCAGAATCCCCTGGGAAATCACATGACTCCAGCCTCACTCTCGCACTCCAACTAGCGCTCCAGTTCCCCAGAGTATTGATCTATATCACCTGTTCTTCTCTGATTGGTTTAGTTTAAAGCCCGGGCTTGTAGACAGTTTCATTGTGAGGTATTGCTACTGTCCATAGAGCTACTGAGCGTTTTTTCTGACTGTTTATTCCTGTTCCGCCTTGTTTTTTGACCTGCCTTTTGCCTGATCCCTTTTAGACTGTTCACCTGGTTATGTTTGTGTATTTGTGTATTTTGCCCTTTCTGGATTTGACCATTGCCTGTGACCTGACTACGATTGTGGATTCTGTTTTCACTAGTAAAGCCTCTCATTCACTTTTTACCCGCGAACATCTGCGTCATTCTGTTGTGTTACACTTGACCTAAATATAACTGTATTGCTAAAGACCTGAACTGAACAGAGCTAAAAAGTGGCTAGCAACAGTTACTAAGCAGTGATGGGGAGCTAAGAAAAATGAGATGAGTCTTGAGATGGGTCCTGGATACTGACCGTCTAATAGCGACCCTTTTCTATAGTATGGCACACGTTTTTTGTCGTATACTGTATTGTATACTACTATGAAGAGTAGCATGCAGTTCACAGTATATAGTAGTGCAGTACTCAGTATGTAGTATAGTAATATGCCATATTCCTAAACTAACACAACAAGCAGCAGGTTTGGGGATTAGAGAGCAGGCCCATAATGTTCCAATGAAAAGAATCCTGTGATTTTCAGCTACAGCTTTGTAAGATCTACCAATTTGTTTTGTCTTAACGTTTTCATCTTAAAAAAAATAAAAGAAATAAAATAAAACGCCCAAAAACCTCCTAAAAACAGCTTTTCAAAGCGAGGCTCCCAAAGTTCAACAAAAAAGAGGCGGCTCACAAATTACACATTACTAGTGGAGAGCTCCACAAAGGCTGCTGGAAAGCACAGTAGCTTCTCAGAACTGATAATCACAAAGCCCTGCACCCCATAGCCACATGATCATTGCACTATTCTGACACTTTGTAGAAGCTGTTCCTTTTTCTAAATAAGTCTTATTGCTTCACTCAGTGCCACTCACCACACTGCAGAGAAAAGCTCCCGACCACAGATGACACAAGTACACCCAGCACTTCACACACTTCAGTTAATCATATTTATTATCCTTCATTTAGCCTCTTGTTCTCAGGATCAATTACCGGAATTGTGCAGCTTCCCATTTTTACCTGCTTGAGAACTGATATCTGTTTCACAGCTCATCTGCTTTTTGTGCAAAAAAATAGTCAGTTGGTTTTTCATAGTGGCTGCAGACTCCTCCCACTATTGTTCATGCTCCTGTTTCGGCAAAGCATTATGGGCCATGAAATTTTAGCATATGATTACTAGTGCATGCAAGTTTTGCATCCTTCTTTTGTCTGAACATAGTGAAAAAGGAAGGAAATATAGTTCATGGAGACACAGAAAACACGCACAGACCCCAACTTGCACGCTCTCTTCCAGTAAGTGACAGATGTATCAGACAGATCGTAACCAAAGGTAGGTAAAATTCTCTTTAGTAGAACTGTTCTCTATGCAATCCGTAGTTTTGAAACTGGCATTTTAAATTGAAGATTTGTGCAGCATGGTCACTTTATTGTGGATAATTACAACTATAAAAAACTAGACAACGCTAGCATAATTTGCTGGATGTTTAATGGTGACATTTTTTGCACACAACTCATAAGGGAGATTCATAGAGAAAGAGAATAAAACCTTTATAATCCGTATGCTATATTTGTGAATTATCATCTTTGTTGCTTTTGGTAATTGACTGTGGCTTGTTTGTTAAGTTTGCTCCAATGGTATCATTTGTTTGTGTGTCTTGGTGTAATTAGTAGCACCGTTTAGTGGATTTTTTGCTACAGTGTCATCAGCACACTTAGGACGAGAGTGTAAAAATGTGTCTGGCGTAAGACCATTAAACAAATATTCAGCACACTGTGGCATGAGTGTAGACGGAGGCGTGGGAAAGGCTGTATTTCTCCCATAAGAAGTACTCTTTATTTATATCCTTGTTGTGTTTGCACTATAACACCCAGAAGAACAGCCCTGTAGCATGAAATGGTTCAACTTTTTAACGGAACTCTGCAAACAGTAACCAGCTATCTTTCTTACTTGTCCAGCATTTACGTAGGGCAGCATTCTATATCTTCTCACATAGCTTCAGCTCCCCCCTAGAGGTTCTCACCAGACACCACATATCCCCTTCTCTTAGGAAAATGAACAGTCTGGAGGAATAAGCACTTCCAAAAATAACCCCCCTTAACAGTGAGAACACTACAGTATTCAAAAGAATTAGTAGGAATATTGATCACATCGTTAACAATGTGTGCCATTTACAACCAAGCATTTCTTCCATCTTGACTACAATATAACATAAATTAAATGATCAATGCAATAACAACAATTACATAAGACCACAAAGCAGCTACTGTATATCAGTTGTTACAGATATACACGTCTATCTACATAGGACTGTGTTTTGTCATCATTTACGTCACATAATCTTTAGGCCATACAGGTGCTTTTCTAGACCTTGATGAGGCTCTGACCTGTGTATTTTGTGAAGGCTTTGCAGTGTCAAAGTCCATCAATGACAAAGCACTTGAATCCTCCCTCTCCTACTGTAGGAGCACAGGTGCTAGGTGAGATGCATTCCAGCACTGTCCATCTGACAGTTTGTAGGAGAAAGGCCCCTTCTTCTCCATGACTTTAAGGGGGTCCCCCAAACTTAGACTGGGTCTTTGGAAGAATGGCAGGTTTCCTCACTCGGACACATGATCCACACTGAAAAGAAACACGCCTTGCTCTGCGCCTCTTGTCTGTGTACGCTTTGCTTTTGGCTTGTTGTGATCCACCCTATCAGAGACCTCCAGTAATGGTGGTGTAGTGTGGGAGACTGGAACCTGGACACCTGAAACATAGAGCTTTGTGCACATGAGTCTTCCATGTAACAGTTCTGCAGGGGAGCACTGGGTTGTAGCATGTGGGGTTGCACGGTACGCTTGCAAGAAATCTTTGGTGAACTCTTTCCACTCTTTGTGCTCCAGTGAAGCGGTCTGCAAACAGTCCTTCAAGCTGTGGTTGAAGCATTCAACTTCACCATTAGCACACGGACAGATGACGTTCCGTGCACAGTTCCTCTATCCTGTAGAAATAATGCAAACTTATGAGAGGTGAACTGTGGTCTGTTATCGGAAATCAGTTCCTTTGGATTGCCCTCTCTACTGAACACTGAAGACAGAAACTGGATGACAGGCTGTTTTGTAGCATGTGCTGTAAAAGCAATCTCAGGCCATTAGCTAAAATAATCTATCAGCGTGATCACAAAGCGACAATTCAGGGGTGCATTGTCAAATGGCCCCATGATGTCAATTGCAAGTTTTTCCCAAGCACTGGTAGGGTATGGCACCGGTTGCATTGGTGTTGGATGCGTGAAAGCAGACCTGTCATGTAACTGGCATGTCACGCATGCTTTGATGGATGCTTCCACTTGAGCATCCATCCCTGGCCACCAGTACAACTCCTCTCAGTCGTTTTTTTTGTTTGGACAATGCCTTGATGGGGATCATGTGCCAGAGAAATAAGCTTGGGCTTGGGCTTCCGGGACCACAAGGCGGCTTGTGCCTAGCACCACACAGCCATCTTGGAAGGAAAGTTCATTTTGCAGCCTGAAGTATGGTTGTAGTGCTGGATCCAGGGCTTTTGCAGACTTAGGCCATCTGGATGTGAGTAATTTGTGGAGTTTGTACTGGTTTGTCTTTTCAGTAGCTGAGTAAGCACAGCCCTAATACCATAGTCTGATGCATCTGTGGTGACTGTGGTGGCCAGTTCTGGGTTAAACACTGTGAGTGCAGGGCTGCTGACTATGAGCACCTTGACTCTCTCAAAACTTTGTTGGGCCTCTTGTGTCCATACAAATGAAGCAGAACCACGAAGCAGGCAGTGTAATGGCTCCATGACAGCTGCATAATTTGGTATGAATTTTGCGTACCAAGATGTGAGCCCCAAAAATGACCGAAGACTGACCACATCTGTAGGTGGTGGAGCTTGCGACACTGCAGCCACATGTGAAGCATCAGGCTGCAGCCCTTTTGTTGACACAGTATGCTCAAGGAAAGACAGTTCAGGTTGCCTAATATGACACTTGTTAAGTTTCAGCTAGAGTCTTGCCTTGTCTATGCGCTGCAGAACAGACTTCAGATTGTTGTCATGTTCCACAACTGTTGCCCTTGAGACGATTATATCATCCAGGTAGCTTTGGACTCCTGGCTGACCCTTTAGAATGATGGACATTATACGTTGGAAACAGCTAGGTGCCAAAGCTAACCAATAACGAACGTGCTTAAAACGACAAAGACCATCATGTGTAATGAAAGCAGTGATATTACGGCTGTCCTCATGCGGCATGACTTGATGGTAAGTGCTCTGAAGGTCTAATGTAGAGAAGTGTTGCTCCACGTAACTCAGCAAACAATTCCTCCATATGTGGCAAAGGAAAACTGTCCACTACCACTCCCTTGTTCGGCTCCGTTAAATCAACATTCAACATCAACATGACTCCCCCATCTTTCTTTCTGGTGACCACTATTGGAGAGACCCATTCAGTTGCATCAGTTGGCTCAATTACATCTTGATCAACCAGTTTCTTTAACTCTGCTGAAACTGCGTCAAATACTGAAAAAGGCAGGTGCCGTAGTTTCTGGTGCACAGACTGGACATCTGATCAGATTTTTACATGATGAGAGAAGCCCTTTCCACAGCCAAGAGCAGTGTCTTGTCTAGCTGCCACTGTGGAGACTAAATGGTTGTGTGGAGCTGAACTGACGACGCCATTAAGTATCTGTAACTGTAACGCTGAGAATAAGTCCCTGCTAAGCACTGCAGATCCCTGCTGCACGATATATAGTTCTGCAGTGGCACTCCGGTCACCGAACCTTACGTTAGCTTTCAGACAACCATTTTCAGGTTTAACTTTGGTGCAGAAAGGGCAGTATGGGAGAAAAACTGTTTACACAGTGATTTGGGTAAAATGGAGACAGCTGAGCCTGTGTCTAGCATTAGCTCAAGTTTCTGTGTCTGACCATTGCCAACACAAATTTGCACTGTACACATTATTTTGCCTGCGTCGTGTGCCTTACACTCAATGTTCAAGACAGTCACTTCAGGAGAAGTAACCTCAGAAACTTTCTTGGTTCACCAACATATTTTGGCAAAATGTCCTTTCTTATTGCAACTCCTGCATAGTGCGTTTCTCGCAGGACATCCAGGAGGAGCATGTTGTACCGAACCACACGCAGCTTGCTAGCCTGCTGTATAGCATGAACTGCTCCGTCTGCAGCTCCCATCATCACCTTAGCTTCTGCCACAGCAGTTTCAATTTGGCACGCTATTGTCATGGCTTTCTTAATGTCGAGTGGCACTTCTAAGAGCAAACCCTCTCTAATGCGGGTTAAGTTTGTCTTTTCTACAAGCTGATCTCGAATCATTTCTTCCTCCATAGCACCGACTTCACAAGTGGCCACGAGTTCTCTCAGAGCTGAGATGTATTGATCACTAGATTCACCAGTGTGCTGGCTGCACTGGCAAAACCGATAACGTTCAGCCACAACATTAACTTTTGGCAAGAAAAAGCCCAGAATAGCTGTTAAAGCTGTTGCATACGAGAATGGCGCTGAAGTTGAGCCAACCTGCACCATTTCTACAGTCCACTGGTGAGCCACCCGTCACTTTCAAGTCATGGATTAGAGTGGTCGACAACTATGTGCTTGCCTTGGGGGAAGAGCTATTGGAGGCGAGGAAGCGGGCTCTTCTTATCCATTGTTTAGGAGCAGAAGGCCAACGAATATTCTACACACTGACTGTCGCTGATGAGAGCGTCGCCATATGTTGTGTTTGCACTATAACACTAGAACAGCCCTGTAGCATGAAATGGTACAACTTTTTAAGTAACTCTGCAAACAGTAACCAGCTATCTTTCTTACTTGTCCAGCATTCATATAGAGCAGCCTTCTATATCTTCTCACATAGCTTTAGCTCCCCCTAGAGGTTCTCACCAGACACCACACATCTGCAGAAAAGGCACATCCTACAAAACGTCCGGGGATAGCAGGCAGGTCATTTCAGTGTATTAAACTGCAGCTATTTATAATTAATGTCTCTGTCATGTAGATTTGTATGTGTGTGTATGTGCGCACATGCATATGTACGCTAGCATGTACAGAAGAGGGCATTCGTGGAAAGGCCCACAAATATGTGGTATGGTTATGGGTGTATGGTGTATTTATCAAATGTTATGCCTTGTGTTTGGTTATTCTTTTAAAATTAGTGGAGTCACTGATGTAAGAGAGTACTGAGTGTTGTACAAGCCGCGCTGAATTCAGTAGTTTTGTTTTTGATAGATGCTGAAAGCTTTTGCATTGCATGTTCTGTAAGAAGGTTTTTCCAGTCATTGATAGTAATATTTTTCCTAGTTGTGCAGTTCATCAGAGTGGCTTTTTTTAACATTCAAAGTCACTTTTACAGAGTTGGACGGGGTGCATGGTGAAACTCTGCATACTGTTCCCCTAAAGCCCCTTCTTGAATCATGGAGAGTGTGGTGGACGTCACACAGCCCACCCTCCCAAAAGGTCAGCCATCCCAGTGGTTTATACCATAGGGCGCATGGAGTCCCAACCATCACAAATGCTGTGGGTTACCCACTCATCAGCAGGTGCCCCCATTCCTTTCTCAGGGCTGTGTCTTTGCTGCACAGCACCTCCTCCTCTGACCCTGGCGGCCAGCTGAGCTGCAGCTCTGTGGGCGTCCTCTCCATTAGCATGTCGAAGTGGAGAGACAAGTGAGCTCTACGGCCTGGGCACTACTAGGGATGCTGACAGCTCTTTCTGCATTGCCAGCACACCAACCTTTCCCTAGAGCTCACTATGAGGCTGCACAGCACATATGCTCCTTCTCAAGCTTGCCCGCACCATGGCACTGTATTGCTCGCCACTGCGATTCCATGCTGTGGATGACCTCTGCCCTTTCTGCTGCTGAGAATGCTACTTAAAGGCTGGCTGGTGAGGCCAGGAACCTCTAGGAAACTCCACTAAAATGTTACAAATTTTCAAATGGATGTAAACATAGCACACATAAAGCACTAACAATTGCAAGCCTCCTATAATAAATCACTGTTTCATAAAACAGCACAGTTTTCCTGTCTGCATTGTTTTCATATCTTTAGTTTCATCAGGCAGAGCACTCTAATTTGTATCTTTTGTTGCTGTATTGTGTGTGTGGATTTGTGATATCTTTTCCATTGTTATAGTCCAATCCTGGAATTGTCTTTACCTGGATAACTGAAGGACTTTCAGGTAAACAACACTTTCTGGGCACCTGTTCCCTTTGCACTGACTTGTTATTGTTTTGAACGTGAACATTTCAGCAGAAGGGGCTACTTAAAAAGTGTTTCTTTTCTGTTTCTTCTGTCTTCAGCTTCAACTAGGATCATGGACTTTAAATGTGGAATTCTCTCATTGATCATCCCGCTGTTTTTTGCAGGTAAGATATTTTGCTCTTACTAAATTGTTGCATGTCATCTACTGTAACTGCATATTGCCTATTCATCGCAGCTCATTGGTTTGAACAGTAGGGGTCGCTATTACTCCTAACATTGACAGACCTAAAGTTATAATTGCAAAATATGATTACAATATGATTGCACAACACCACCTATCATAATAAACAAACCATTTCTCTAAAAAAGGCGCTTCAAAACATTAAGAAAACAGCACAATATCCTATGACCACAACATCTACACACTTAGAAACACCTTGTATTGGCCACTGTATGAGCTCCACCCTATAGATCCACTATATATGTGTACAATTACATACTAGACTATCTGTGGCTGCACAATTTATCATCCACTCTCGACTTCATTTATAATTGGTCAGCTCATGACCACAGGGAGCTGTTGTCCAGATATTGTTTGGGTGGCGGATCACTGACAGTACAGCAGTGACACTGAGCTTCACTGTAGGTTTTTTTTTTGGGGTCATAAGCAGCGTTATTTCTCCTCCAAACGTGGGAGCTTGGAGTTCAGGGCCCAGGGGACGGACGCATGCCACAGTGGATTTTTCAAAATGTTCTGTATTACACTACAAATTTTACAAGCTTTAGCATAACCATGGCGGTGTAGTGCGCTGCCTATGTTTTCTCAGTGTACCCACTGCTTTTGAGGTCCTTCTGGAGCTCTTTTCAAGTGTTCTTTGACTGTTTGACTGCCTGATCAGAAATCTTACATTGAGCTCCTGTGCTTGGCTGGTTGATTGAGTGATGTTCCTATCACTTGTGGATAATGGCCCCATGGGACTTATAGGAACATTTAGTTAGTAGTTGAGAAATTCATCTGTAATCAGTGACTTTGCTATGCTGCCCAACTATTTTGTTGCAAAGGTCTTGGGAAGGTCTTTGCTTCTACACATCATGACATGTTTCTTGCATGACAGCTTGATCACAAATTATATGCTGACTTGCTTTTTCTTACTGTGGTCATTTTGTCCTGTGTCATTCCATTTTTAATAGACTGGAATGCTATGATTTCTTTTTAGCTGTGTAGTTTTATTGAGGTAATACCAGTATCTGGTATAAAGATCATGTGAATAGCTGTATTGTAAATATGTTTAATAAAAAAATGTTGACATGTTGAATCTTTATTTCTCCCACTGTAAGTGAAATATGTAAAGTTTCATAAAGTTGAAAATCAAGTGATTTATCTCCCTAATTGAATGTTATTGTGAACTTTTCCCATTAGGAATTTAAATAGGGCTACTGGTAAAGAATCTGTCTATCTTTCTCATTACCACAATAAGCCTATGCTTGTATAATTTGCATGTAAACTCTACTATGTTAATCTATAGCCTTTTATATTGGGTTATTTATATTCACTTTGTTTTTGCCATCTGCCAGTACAGAAGCATATATGAAAAATATGGTAGCACTTTACAGATGAGTAATACGTGAGTAATAATACAGCAATATTATGGTAAGATGTCATACTTACAAAAAATAACATGCTTATTTTCAAGTTGTTATTTAAGAATAAGTAACTGTAGCATTAATAAATTGGTAATAACATGTAATAATAAAGTAGTAGTAACATTTTAATCTAATGTAATTTTTTAACCATGAGTGATAAGAATAGTAAAACAATAATGAAAATAAAAGTAATGTTCATATTATAATTGCACTAATGATTTCAGTGCAGTTAGCCACATTATTTCAAATCATATGCTGAAAGATACAGTAACTGAGAAACAAGTTGGACAGAAGTATGTTTGCATTTTACAGCTCAAATACCTTTTAGTTATACTGTAATTGCCACTTGTAACATTGTGCCTGACCATTTAAATACATAACAGGTAGAATTAGAAGAATTAATAGAATAGAAACAAGTAAAAGTATATTACAGTACTAAAACTACATCATTTCAGCAGGACATCATTGTTTTGGGGTAATAAATCTAAGATTATAAAACCCTACAATGATTGAAAGGAATTTGGGTGATATATTGTTTTAGTCCAGTGATAAGCAGATATTACGAAGGACACTTTTTTTTCTATACATGTGATAAATTATTTTGTATCAACTGGAAAATTTGTATTTTATTTATGAGTAATCAGAATTTCCTATCATAATTTTTCATTTTATTACCAACTAATTTCCACTACGATTAACTTCTTATGTATTAACAACCAAAAAATTAACATATATATTTTTTTGTTAGTACAGTTGGTTACTATAATATTACCATGTTGTTAACCCCTTATTACTGAGCTGTAAATTGCCACCATAATGGTCAGATATTTTGATTTCTGGGATTACTGCAGAAATGGTAATGCACACTGTTTCAGTTTCAGGTACACTGGAAGTCAGCGTGTCCTGCAGTCCTCAGACTATATGTGCTCTGCAGGAGACAGTAGTTCACCTGCCCTGCTCTTTCTCAAATGTCAATTTCAACATTAAAACTGTCTTCTGGTTCAGTCCCAAACAAAAAGCTAAATGGAGGAATGTGGAACATCCAGAGGATGTAGCTTTAGACTCAGACTACACAGGACGAGTGAGCACTGAGGCCACAAACTTCAGCTCAACTCTTACAATAAGAGAGCTGAGAGAGAGAGACTCAGGAGAATATCACCTCATGATCATCACAGAACAAGGACAGAAACATCTCAGCTCAACTGCAGTCAATCTAACAGTAACAGGTAAACAGCTGAAGTAACACAACCTGTTCTGTATGTATAGCAATTTTTGTGGTTTTGAAAGATTCATAGGATTTATGTACTGAAATATTTATTTCAATTTAGACCTGCAGGTGAGGATGAACCTTGACACTGGGCAGAGCGCACAGACACTGACCTGTATCACTTCCTGCAATTTGACCTCCGGAATTAATTCTTACACCTGGTACAAGGATGGAGCAAAGGTGGGCATGAAAGATCAGAGGGTCTTGGTTTTATCCAGCATGGATGTTGGCAGCTACTCCTGCTCTGTTAGCAGCCATGAAGAAATCCGCTCTAATGCATTGTGTGAGTATGACAACTGTTTATAGCTAACGATTCATAAACGATTCAGTCCAATACATGATAATATTCTAATTTTACAGGTGTGTTGGATGAAAACTGTTGGAGTGTGACCTATACAGACAGAAGAGTGTGTGTTTTGGAGGGTTCTTCAGTGGATTTTTCCTGTACTTACTCACTTCCCCAAAGTTATACAGTTAATGAAAATTTCTGGCATTACAACTGGTTTAAGGAGAAGCCAAAGGATCTGCGTCAGGAAGAGCAGTTTGCTGGTCGAGTGGAGTACATTGGAGATAAAGAGAGAAAAAGCACTTTGAGAATAAGAGATGTGAGAAAGAATGACTCTGGAGATTATTACTTTCGAGTCATCACTCAAACTGAAGGAGGGAAATTCTCTGGGAAACCCGGAGTCATTCTAAATGTTACAGGTAAACATTAAACATTAGTTATTAATTTTTTAATCACTATTTGATGTGTTAATTTGATCAATATTTTTCTGTGTTCAGCTCTGCAGGTGAGCGTGATTCCCAGTACAGCATCAGATGAACTGACAGTAACACTGGTCTGCAGCAGTACCTGCACTCTGCCTAACAACCCTACTTACATTTGGTACAAGAACAGACAGCCTGTAACTAACAAACTCACCAGAGACAACAAGCTGTACCTGAAGTGCAGTGAAGATGCAGGAAACTACTCCTGTGCTGTGAGAGGACATGAGGAGCTCCACTCTCCTGATCAAACACTCAGTGACTGTGAGTCCTGTAAAACACACATCTGTACGGTCATAAATAACATTTCTCAGTTTTTATTTTCTGTATTTAATAATGGAACATGGCTTATCTCTGAAGGTGGTGGAGGACCAAAGGAGAGCTCAGTGCTGATCACAGTGGGAGTGGTGGTCTTTCTGCTTATAATACTCATCACAGCAGCTGCTCTGTGGGTGTGGTAGGTACAGTGCAAACATATGTGCTACTGTTCAACGTTTGGCATCAATTTTGTTAAAGATACTTGATGATGATTCTAATATAATACTAATACTCATTCAAACAATTTGTATAAAGCTGTAAAAATAAGGAAATTGAGACAGTTGTATAGCATTGAGAATGAATTTATAATAAAATGAATTTCCAGAATGACGACAGGCCTTAAGTCTGTCAAAGCACCACCAACTAATCATCATGCCCCACTAAACCCACTGTTTTGTACATGCTTTCATAGTGGCATGTAGCAAAAAATGAGCAATGTGAAACTAAACTTTGTGCAAGCTGTAGCATTTTTTGCTGTGTGAACCCCCAATTAAAAGACTGCAATGATTTACCACAGGAAGGGTTGCATGTATCACTTTGTACTGGCTATATTGTAAGGATGTGCTGATTGTTGTGGGAAAACAGATTACCTAAATGGGTAGCCCTTTGATAATTTGCTGTACTGTTGATTCTCTTTTGAAAGTGTGTAGAACTGGAGCTGCTCTGTGTGCTACACTGTTTCCCATCACTGTATAAAACATGCACAAGCCTGCCTTTATTGTTGAATGCACATTTTTTCAGAGTAAGCATGCATACAATAAGAGCTCAGTTTGGATTAATCAGCACTTAATTAATTCATTGTTTTATTTACTCAGAGTACATAAAACACACTGATGTGTGAGATTTTTTTTTATATGTTTACTTGTTCAAAATCATAGTTTGTGAAACAAATAAAAAAAATGGGTTAATGAAATTTTGGCTTTGTTAGATCACATTTATATCCAATAATTGCAATAACAGCATCGAGAAACTATGTGATTAATGGAGAATGGCAACAACACTGGAACATTTTTTTTACTCTTTGGTTTTTAAGCACACCCATAGAATCAATGGTGACCAGTGGGGTTCATTTAGTGTTTGCCAGCATTATCAAGCATTGTCAGGGCTTCACTTTTTGGTGATGAGGTAGGCTGCCTTTTGTTGTTATTTAGATATTGATCATAAAAATGTAGTATGATGCTAACATTGCTTGACAGAAGATCAAAATGCTCAGTATAGGTTAAGTCAAAACAGAGGATACAGAGTGTCCTTCATAGCTAAAACCTATTTCACAAGATCAACAACTACTACAGCTGTCGGCTAATTTACCTCTGAGTGGTTGTACTTTTAGGAACCTAGCTAAAAGATATAAGCTTTGTGAAAGGACTACAATGCTGCTCTTCCCCTAGGAGATTGATTTATTCTACTTAATTAATTATGATGAGATACCATTATATTTTTGCCTGATCATGCTGTCCAAGTACAAATAACAATTCTTTATATGGTAGCAGCATTTGGTCAGAGTGAGGAACAAACTCCTGTGTTTCTTTTGTCTGAGGGCATTGCAACATTACAAGCCTATAGGCACTTGGCATTTGGTTCATAGTGATTTGCTGCTAAAGAAAAGTCAAGAATGCCTTTGCTATGTTATTTTTCTTTGTAATATTGCCTCTACAGCAGTCTTTGAGGTGGAATGGAAAGTCTGAAAAGAAGTTAACTACAGGCTTCATTACCTGCTTAAGAGTTTGATGTAGTTGACTAGTATTACATAAATCTCTGTGAGGGTGGTTCACCCAAAGTATTACTTTACCCAGCTCTCTGAGTGATATTTTTATCATGTAAAGTTGGCCATTCAAGCAGTTCAAAACATGTATGTCACGTTTACATACCAGTCCAGGAGAAATATTGTTAATGCTGCATCCAACTTTATACCTATTGCATGTAATAATTTCACCACTGAACAGTGTTTTCAATGTGGATTCCTGTTTTAGCACATTTCTTGTCATTAAGTTTTTCAGCAGCACAGCATGTCTTTTTCCTCACTAGCAGAACCTAACAGCACAGATTTCACCATGTTTTCTTAGCCAAGCAGACAAAGGTGGGGGCCATATTATGTGGTGTAGGGGAGGGTCTTATAAAATGACTGACAGGAGGTCAGTGTAAACACCTCTGCTCCGCCCTTCAGTTTTCCAAATGGGGTTTCTCAGGTACATAATACACTTATGCTGATGCCACAGCTAAAACAAGTCTTTTTATCAGGTTCTGCATAATTATAAAGTTTATTTCACTAATAATGAATTAAATAAAATGACTACTGCACTGTTACATTATTAATATAACAAGTAATTCCAAACCTTCGAACAGTAGTGTATATTATATTTTGAAAGTGATCATTCAAATCAATGCAGATATGTTATTTTGACTTTATTCTTACCGTTGGTTTCTCAGGACGAGAAAGTCTAAAGGTGGCAGGAGCTCAGGAGAGAGTGGACAGGTGAGCATGTTAGAGAGGAGGACTGTGTGAATATGTGACACGATCAAATATGACACAGTTCATGTGTTTCCTCTTTCCCTCTATCTTTTTCAGCATGACTCTGCTCATGTTTATGACAACCCCTCAGCCATGGACATGAGATCTGACCCCACGAGCAGAGTGTCAGATAATCAAGATGACGTTCACTACTCCAGCGTTCAGTTCAAACCCTCTCACTCACAGGAAAAGCGTCCATCCTCCAGACACCTTGAAGAAACCATGAAAGAGCCGGATGTTGAGTATGCAGCTGTGAATTTCAGCAGACACACTGCTGCCAAAAAGTGAGTAAATCATGTTATTACATTTACACTCAGCTTAGCTCATTATATTTGACTGATTAGAAACATAACACTTTAAGTGATTCATACATGCTGTGTAGTACAATACTGTGCAAAAATCTTAGGCACCCCAGGACATTGTTCAAAACTGTTTGCCATCAAATGTGTTTTTACCAGTAGAAATACAGTACACCTTAATGTGGATGCAAATAAACAAAAAAAAAAAAAGAAAAAATAACAATAATTTCATATTTTGAAAAAATTTGTTAATATCTTGGGAGCTAGCTTGAAGAATAAAGTTTAGTTCCAGATGTCTCCGCAATGTCCCCAGCTATGGCATGGGTTTGTTAAATTGTATCATCAGCACACTTGATTTAACATAATGATGTATTGATTAGCCAGTTATTGGATAATAACCACAATAAATACCAGGCTGCCATGAAGAGAGGTTTGGAAATGGTTAAACAAACACATTGAAGTACAAAAAAATCATTACTCATTCCATTAATGTTATTTAAATATATTTATGATAACATTATTATTAGTGTTTGTCTGAGCACATATGTTTAGTGTTTTTCAATTACCTAAACTGTTGCACAGTACTGTATAAACTTAAAGTAGCGGTGCCACGTTTGTCATTTTGGATGGACATGACAAATATTCGGGTAGACCATATTTCAATTTCACTCCAGCGGATGGGGATATAAGCTACACCAAGTACAAATCATATGAGGCATTTTATATACACTGTATGGCCAAACGAATGTCGCCACCCCATTGATGATTGTGTGTAGGTGTTTCAGCCGCACCCTTTTATAACAGGTGTATTAAGTCAAACACATAGATAGGCAATCTCTGTAGACATTCACAGTAAAATAGGTCACACTGAAGACCTCAGTGACTTTAAACATGCCACCGTCATAAGATGCCTCCTGTGCCACAAGTCAGATCATGACATTCCTGCCCTGATGGATCTGCCCTAGTCAACTGTAATGCAATTACTATGAAATGGAAGCATATAGGAGCAACAACAGTTCAGCTATAAAGCAGTAGAACACGCAAACTCACAGAGGGGCCAACGAGTGCTGAAGCACATGGTAAGTAAAAATTGCCAATCCTCTGTTACGTCACCCACTACAGAGTTCCAAACTGACTCTACAAGCAACATTAGCACAAGAACTGTATGTCAGAAACTTCATGAAATGGGTTTCCATGGCCAAGCAGCTGCACACTACCCACTACACACTTCACTATCTGCCAGGCTGATGGATGAATCTGGTTTGGCAGATGCCAGGAAAATGCGACCTACCACCATTTTGGTGTGGAGGAACTGCAGTGGCCTAAACAGAGCCCTGACCTCAACCTCACTGGACACCTTTGGGGTGAATTGTATAGAGTTCAATGTCCAACATCAGTGTCCAACCACACAAATGCTCTTTCTCTGCTATAGCCATAAGACGGGGACCAACTCTGTAAAAAAAAAAAAAAAAAAACTACTGATAGTGGACTGAGGAGGGACAAACTGGCGACAAAGTGAAGAGTGCCCAAGAATCAACAATGTGTGAGGGCAGTGAGGGCTATCCTGTCTGGTCTGATCCAACAGAAGGGCTACTGTGGCATGTCACAGAAATATTTAATAATAGTTATGGGAGGAATCTGGCACAACACATATGCATATGGGGCACCATAGCTACAGACTGATAAGAGTGCCTATGTTCTGTTTTCTTTTACATTACATGGATGGTCGGGTATGTGTGCATCATTCACCCGGGGAAGTGATGGCTCCAGGATGCACAGTGAGAAGAAAACAAGCGGAGTGTGATGCTCTGGGCAATGTTCTGCTAGGGAAATCTGGGTGCAGCCATTCTTTTAGATGCCAATTTGACACATGCCACCTACAAAAATGTTATTGCGGACCAGGTACACCCAAACATGTGGAAAGCAGGGGTGAGAGGGTGGGTGACCCCCAGATTTTAGGGCTGTTTTACTGGAACTGCTAAATAACGAAAGAACAGAACTTTAACTATTTTGAGCATAGCAAAGACCCATGTGTGCTTTTGTAGGGTGGAATTTGCATTTTCACTTCTTTTATATACCTAATACCTAAACATAACATTATGACCACCTCCTTGTTTCTACGCTCATTGTCCATTTTATCAGCTCCACTTACTATATAGGTGCACTTTGTAGTTCTACAGTTACAGACTGTAGTCCATCTGTTTCTCTGCATACTTTGTTAGCCCCCTTTTACCCTGTTCTTCAGTGGTCAGGACCCCCATGGACCCTCACAGAGCAGGTACTGTTTGGGTGGTGGATCATTCTCAGCACTGCAGTAACACCGATATGGTGGTGGTGTGTTAGTATGTGTGTTGCACTGGTCTGAGTGGATCAGACACAGCAGTGCTGCTGGAGTTTTTAAACACCTCAGTGTCACTGCTGGACTGAGAATAGTCCACCAACCAAAAATACCCAGCCAACAGCGTCCTGTGGGCAGCGTCCTGTGACCACTGATGAAGGACTAGAGGATGACCAACACAAACTGTGCAGCAGCAGATGAGCTATCGTCTCTGACTATACATCTACAAGGTTGCCCTCTCTCAACTATTTTTTCAACCATTGTTATAATCTTCCACTGGATGCGCCCTGCCACACTGCACACATGGAATGGTTTGAGGAACATGATATAGAGTTCAAGGTGTTGCCGTGGCCTCCAAAGTCCCCTGGTCTCAATCTGATCGAACATCTGTGAGATCTACTGGAGTCCGAATCGCAGCAGCTCCAACACGCAACATATGGGACTTGGAGAACTTGCTGCTAACGTTTTAGTCCCAGATATCACAGGACACCTTTAGAGCTCTTAGACAAGGTTGTGGAATTGGGTAGGGATGGTAGGGACACAAACAGCTTAACATATTCAAGTTAACAAATCTCATTCTGTACTATGAGTCCAACCTCCTAAACCCACTATCGCTAACAGGATTGTCTTTGCCGTTTCTTGCTAACATGTGAGGGGCTGCAGTTACCTCTGGTTGTAAAAAGTGCCAAAGCTCTGTCAACTAGATGTGCATGTAGGCTAAGAGAAAGACACTCTCCAACAGTTGTGTGGGCAAAAATTGCATCTCATATTGATTCAATAAGGAGAATGCTCTTGTTAGCTTTGAACACCACTAGAATGGTAAATCCCACCACCATGCAGTCACAGTTTATGCTCAAGAAGCAACTCGAGTAGATTCTCGCAAGTGCCTAGACAAAACAACAAGAAGATGCTTGGCACTGCCTGCAAAATACTGTAGGTTCAATATGGCACCTCGCTAGGCAAGATATGGGAGACTATGAGCCACAAGATGGGAATCTATCTCAGCTTTTGAAATTCAAAGCAAAGTATGATGCCCATTTCTGTAGTTGGCTATATCATGGTCATGAATATATCTCTCTTCCAGTGCAAAATGAGATTTTGCAATTGTTAGGAAATTGTATTGTCAGATGTATTGCACTATCCATTTAGTCTCTACCAGATTTGGGACGTTGAGCAGACAGTCTGGAAAATTCATGGCCATATTTCCAGCAGCAGCTGCAGGTTCAGAAGGACCAGCAGCATCCCAACGAAAAAGCCCAACCAGGTGGACAGTGAAATGGTCCACATGGCAAATGGACTGCATGAAGTGTTCGAAAAGGGCAAAACTGTGCTGAGACCTCTACTGGCATAAGGAGTGATTGAGGAGCTAGAGTGTCTGAACAAGTCCCTGCAAAAACAGACAGAAACTGGCGCAGGAATGAGAAGTGCAGTAGAATGTGTCAGATCCACTTTACAAGGCAAAATGAATGAGAAAAGGTTTGGACAAAGCAGTGACAATGGCTGACTCCCTTGGGATTGAGCCCCTTCAGATTCCTCTCGAAAGACTTCTACAAAAATGCAACATAGGGTAGGTGTTCAGTTTGAGGAGATGTCCAACGAACCAGGTCTAGATGTCTCACAGAAGTTGGAGGAAACTGACTGGAGAAGTAAATGGTGTTATTGATCAGTGACCAGAACTGAACAGGGAGAATCTAAAGACAAACTAATCATGTTTCCAGAACACTTCCAAATCTAGTGTTGAAGTGGTTAATATCATGAGAAAAATGACAGTTGAGGTGAGAGGCCTGTTTGACCAAGTTGAAACCCTAGTCAGGCTGCTTTTAGTCATCCCAGTCTCATCGACTGAGGCTGAAAGAAGTTTCAAAGCTCTCAGGAGACTGTGCCATCTCTACCTGGACAAACTGGACAACACTGATGTGAAACAAATATGCCCACAGTTCCTTTCTGTTACAGACAGACATAGACATGTGTTCGGTGCCTTTAAATAGGAGCAAGACAGTGGAAACTGGACTATTTGTATTTAGGGTGTGGATGCAATTAACAGTTTTTTAGATGCGAATACAAATTTACAGATCATTTGCTTGAAAAGTTAACAGTACCTGTCTTAAAAAGTGTTCTTTGAGGGTCCATCCAGCAACTTCTTGTGTTCTGTAATTACAGTACTTGGTTTTTGGTTACGTAGACTACAATACCAGGTTATGCCAGGTGCTCCACTTACACTAATGTATATGTATAATGTTGATGTATGAGAGATGTTGATTAACTATAGCTGGAGTATAGCTGTTAAACTGCCTATTTGTTTGACATTAGCTGCATTTACCTTGTTACAGAAGTCAGTAATCAACATATTCTTGTGTTCAGTAGAGAGAAAAAGCTACATGTCCATCCCTGAATAGCGTTCTTAAATACCAACATAACTTCGATGCTGATGCTAAGATGCGGATGGTTTCCGGCATTTGTCCCTTCAGTCTTAATGAGTTGGTTAATGGTTGTACCACGTTCAGAGCTGGATAACTGTAGTTACTGTTTATCTAATGCTCAGTGATGCTCAGCAAATGGCTCACATTTGTGGTTATTGATAAAGCTGGGATCATAATGCTGCCAGATGTGTACATCCTCTTCTCATGTTCCACAGGCCTCTAGATGCAGGAGCAGCTGATGACCCATCTCAGATATACAGCCAGATCCAAAAACACAATTCCCCAACCTGAGCAGCACAAAACCTTTTCTGTGCAAGAGTTCTGGATCCTGGACTGTTCCTGGATCCGGGACAGCAGACTTATTTCTGTGAAAAGTGAAGAGATCTGTAACTTAAAATAAAACTACTGAAATCAGCATCTAAAAGATCACAATACTACATAAAATGTCCCGTTTAATATGGTGATTTTGGGTTGCCCCACCTCACTGACGTTGAATGTCTTTATGAAGTACATTCATTAAAATCTTCCAGTAACACCATAATAGCAATTTGGGTATTTGGTTCATTTGGTTATTTGGTTTGTTTCCAAGCAATTTAATGTTAAAATAATATTTTTCTCTATTACTTTATTTAATTGAACAAAATAGTCATTTTAACCCGTCTCATTTATTCACTGTTACCCAAAGCTGCTCCCCTTCATAAAAAATGTAACATTCATTCATATACAGGAGTTGCATCATCTTTTTTTTCCCCAGAATGACCATCAGACAAGTCTGCATTCTTGTTCTGTTTTCTGAATTTACGCACAATAATCGATTTGGCAGCATCATTTAACATCGTTACCAAAATTATAGTTAGAAAAAAAGAATATATGTTTAATTTCTTTTATTTATGTAAACTATATGGTTTTCAGTAGTTAGTATGCAACACGTGTCAAGTTAGCCACTCCTGAATGCCACTTATGTTAGGCTATATTTGCAACCCTGTACCCCAATTTTTTAACCTTCAACTATTTTTAAATGAAAATGGCTTGAAACAAAGATTTTAATGAAACCCTTTTGCTTAAAACAATTTTATTTGCTCTGTGTTGCACACTTTTTGTTTTTTACTGCATTAATATCAGCTTAATGGAGAATATGATCTCTGTGTTCAACCTTGTTTCTTGCTTCAACCTTGTTATTCAATGAATTTTGGTGAAAATACACTTAAAATGTTTAATTTATTCGCTTATGTTACCAAAAGTGTCAATTTGATAGCGAGAGTCATTACTTAAAACTGCTAATACAAGAAAAATTACTTTTTTGTTTAGAGAGAAACTCTAAAACCCTAAAGGCTTTGAAGTAATTTAAATATAAGAAATATAAATTATTTATTTGAAAAGTTCATAAAGTTCATAATGAATTCAATTGAGACAGGCTTTTAATTTTTAAATTTAAATATTTACATTTCCCTAAATTTGGTAACAGTATTATAAAAAATGCTGTACCTTTCAGAAGATAAAACAGCTCATATAGTGTCAAATCGCTATGGTTATTTCTCACAGTGTGTTATCAGTGGGTTAGCAGTATGCTGGTGTTTTAATGTCGTTGATGTGTTTTGATTTTGTCATGTTTGCAATGCACTGAAGTGAGTATTATTATAAATGCACTGAATATGTTTTGTACTATACCTGTATGCAACATAGTGTGATATAAAATATGTTCGTAATGTACAAATAGTGAACTCATCTTTATTGTTTTCCAGTACATTTGCAAGAAACATAGTGGACCTTTAAGGCGCAAAATTCAGTTTGTATCTTGCGGGACAACAACATACCTGTACAGTACCCTTTTTTTCTGATATCGCAGTGCTGTGTTAAATTGTCTCAAGTGGAGGGCATTGAGTCCCCAGTTACCCTATATTGCCCACTTACCCAATAATTTAGAAACAAAACCAGTAGTTAAGTGGTCAACAAAATAGGTCAACAAAATATTTTTACAATAGGTAGAACCTCAAAACTGTCCATGTCTGATGGATGAAGGTTTTTTTTTTATTGTTATTTGGTATTGTCTTTAATAGCCTACTAGTTTCATGTAATATATTGTATGTTTGTAGTGGTCTGCCATAAGTATTTGCCAGGCATCAATAAACATAGCGGTTTTGTGAGCCTACATTGAGTCTACAATCTGATCTTGAGTAAAAAGACAGGGCTTTTGTGACAAAGCAGACTCAGAATCTTGTGAAAAATCCATGTGCAGATTTATTAACAAGGCTGTCCAAAACTCATGGTCAAAAAAGCAAAGCAAAAAAGGTTGTAACAGAGAAATCAGTCCAAAAGGCCAGGCAGACACAGCAAAAGGGACAAAAAGCAAAATCAGATTCCAAAAGATCAGACAGAGGTTCAAAACACCAGCAAGACAGACAAAACAAACACCCAGTAGTCAGACTAAAAAGAACTAACAACACTTTGCACAGACTGGCTGAATGGGAGGAGTATTTAAGGTGTGACTGATTAGAGAGATGATAAGGTACAGGTGGCTTAATTTTTGGAACAGGGCTAGTACTCGGGAGAGGGAGTCCTCTGGTGGCCAGATAGTGAATTGCTGACAGTTTTCTGTCTAAAAGAATAAAGTTTAAGTGCATAAACAGACAACATAACATAGTAGGGATTGTAACAATTCACAAAATTTGTAATTCACTTTGATATGATACTGTGGTGTCTCAATTCAATAATTTGTAATATAGCAGTTGGGTGCTGTGCAAAATGCAATGATGTGCAAATCATTTAAACCCTATACTTATTTGGAAATAGTACAAAAACAACATATCAATTGGCAACAGGTCAGTAACATGACTGGGTATAAAAGAGTATCTCAGAGGGGCTCAGTCTTTCAGAATTAAGGATGGGGAGGGGTTCACCACTCTGTGAAGGACTGTGGGCGTACAGAACACGATGCTGCCATCAAATTCAAAATGGGCATTTATTTTTCAAAAAAACTCAGTTTCAACATTTGATATGTCATCTTTGTACCATTTTCAATTAAATATAGGGTTTGTATGATTTGCATATCATTGCATTCTATTTTTATTTACATTCTGCACAGCAACCCAACTCTTTTGGAAATGAGGTTGTATAAAGAGTGCCTAAAAATGTACCTTTTGTTAATAAATGTTTCCATTTTCACTTTTAGCTTTTTTATGATAACGCACTAGCCGGGAGCTACTAATTGTGCTTTTCCTCTCTGCTATCGATTTTGAGTCAAAGAGGAGGCAATATTATCAGGGAAGCCCTCATTGTGGGATTGCTCATTGAATTTTGTTACATTTCATGCAATTTAATCAGTAAATAGAGTTATTTATTTGCTTCATTCTGCTGGATGTGTTGTTTGAGACCTGTATGTATTGAACTGAAAGAGTTGATTCAATAGAGACGTTATATTGTCACTCTTCAACAACATTGCTCATTATTGAAATCATGTTAGTTTGTTATATGTAAGTGTATATTGTGTTTTACAGCTTTAAACTGAAAACAAAGCTTCCATTCATGCTTGAAGAAGAATGTTGACTGTACAATTCTGTAGACTGACCTAACAGACACTCACGATTGGCTAAAAAAAGTGCATGTGACGAAACCTTCAAGAACGCTGTAGGGTGTTAGATTTAAATGGTTTTCTGGTTTAAATAGCCTATATACTGTTTCCTTTTGGGGTCTACAGATTTCTGGTAGTCAAGTTTTTTTTTTTTTTATATTTTATGCTTTCATTTTTGCATTATTTCACACCTTCTTGCCACGTATGTAATTTCACTTCAGGCTTGTTGTACCACTGGGCTTGAACTGTGCAAAACAAATAAAGAATTTAAATACATTATTTCAGAAATTCTTGTTTATTGTCAGTGTCAGTGTCTTCCCAGCCGTGCTGGACCACCCTGTTCTGCCTCTCACCTATGATGGACATCCTATGACCATCCTTATTTCTTCACAAAGTACAAGTAATTCATTCTCAACTCAAATTTCAAAGTAACGTCTGTTATTACCCCATCTGTTTCCCCATGTGTACGCTATATTATGACACTATGCAATAACCTCACATGGATATCCATTTTAAGGTTGATCCGCTATCCAGATGCTGGTGTTTATGGAAATCCTGCTGTATAACACACACAAATGTATACCTAGTCTCTCGCATAGGCTCATGTACAAACCAAGACAGAGTGAGGTTTGTGCTTCTTTTGAGTCTGATTCCAAAGTAGTTGTGTGCTAAATGAAGAATTAGACATTACTGATCAGGTGTTTATTGTAAAGTGGACCTAGCATTGATACAATGTTTTGAAATAAAGCTTTAAAGAGTCAGAATAAGCGGTTCACTCCCTTAGATTTACGTAATGTGTTTAGCCCTTCCAGGCTGTTTTTTATGTGTTTTGATGTGTTTTCTTTGTGTGTTTTGTATGTCGGGGATCTATCGACACAGACAATACCGTATTATTGTCTCTTCTTAAGGGTTCAGAGTCAGATAATAGTTGTGCCCTACCTGCTTTTGTTACATAGTGTGATGAGAACTTTCTTGACCTTAATGTGTCAAAAACTAAGGAATTAATCATTGATTTCAGGCAAAATAAAAAGGAACTAAAAGCAAGTATCATATATGGAAAAGAGGTACAAATTGTGTAAGTACTTAGGAACAGTATTTGACTCCCAACTTAAATTTGATGCAAACACAGTGCTGGCTGTTAAGAAGCGTCAACAAAGAACTCATTTACTGCGTAAGCTGTACTCTTTTCATGTTTGTAATATGGTGTTGTGCAATTTTTATCAGTTATTTATTGAAAGCGTTTTAACTTTCTCGTTTATTTGTTGGTTTAATGGGCTGTCGGTGAGGGACAAGAATATGAATGGTATTGTAAAAATCTGTTCAAAGATAATTGGAGTCCAGTAGAGAGATCTGGGCTGAAACAACAAGTAGCTAAGAAAGCAAAAGGAATTATATATATATATATATATATCGCTGTTGTCAGAAGAAAAGCTCATATCTCCAAAATGGTAACTTTACAGGAGAAGGAAAATACCTGGTTTACCTTTAGTGTAAGCCAATGGAACCAGACTTTTTTCCAAGTCATTTTGGGATCATTACTTTTCAACATGAAATTTACACACAATGTTTTTTTGGGATTAATAAAGTACTCTGAACTGAACTGGACTGTAAATTTATCTTGTCACTGAGATTTAGGGGTGGAAAGAATACTGAAAATCCCCACTTAAGTAAAAGTAATGTGACTTAGTGATAATTTGCCTCAATACAAGTAAAAGTATTAGTT